CGCGCGGTGGGTCCAAATGGACCCATGATGTAAACTTTCGCTTATGTGCAATTCCTTTTGCTCCAAGAGTACCATTATAATCAAGTGAGATAAGTTGCTTTGGGCAAAGTCTTGTGTCCACGAGACAAATCTTGGTGAATACAGGATTATTTGGAGCCCCAGCTCTGATGACCTCAGGAAGTTGCTCCCTTCACCCCTTGCAACCAGCATGGGAAGAACTTTGCCAGCTGCGACTCTGAGATCTTAAGAACAACCTTGAGGATAGAGTTTTGTGGGTGTTCTGGGGTGTGTGGAGAAGCCAGTGTACTCAGTCTCTCTTCCTTGCACTCTAAGGCAAAGCACTTCAATGGCCAAAACCAGCCGACTAAATTTTGCCAAGTGGGAGAAACATGGAAGCAGCCCTCCATGAGAGACACACAATCCTCTGAGTCTGGAGGGTTGCAGGATCCTCGGATTGCACTCTGACCTCAAATTAAGAAATATTATTTGGGTGATATATCAAAACAAGTTTAAAAAAAAAAAACCAATAACAGCAAACTATAAATTACAGCACAAACACTTCCTGTCTGATAAAGAAAGCATAAAACACTTCTCAGCTCAGACAAGATAGCATACTAAAAGATGGAGAGACCAAGGAGTATTTAAATGTCCCAGATGTATAAAAAGAAATTCACTGGGTACCAAAAATGACCATAAAGGAGGCATCAGGTAACACCAACTAGTGAGGATTTCCATAACTGGGGTGCTAGCACTGACAAGGCCCTCTCCTTACTAGCCACACACCTAACTTTATTTGGTGGGGACACATGGAACAGAGCCCCTGAAGAGGTTTTTATGATTTGGGTATCTGCAAATGTGAGCCAGCCCCCAGACTGAGCAATCTGGCACCCCAGATGTTTTTCATTATTAATCTTTCATTATTGGATATGCAGACCATGGCTAATTGGATTTGTAGGTCAAAATGTCTGCTCAGATTCACTTCTGCTGCCCGCTGCACTAATGTTTAGACAAACACTGAAATACAGAGCCGTATGTGCTCTGATGCTTAGATGGAGATCCCATGTGAAGTGTTCCAAAAAACACACTAAGAACAATGTTGTTGTTGTTGTTGTTCATTACATTTCTAAACCTCCTCTGGGCATTTCACAACATTAAGTCACCCATCCAGATTTTAACCAGGCCCGACCCTGTTTAGTTTCCAAGATTAAGCAAGATAAGGCACTTCAGGGTGTAGGGAAACTTCAAAAGCAAAAATGGTAAGAGAGCCAACTTAGCCCTCTGCTGAGATGGAAAATGATTCCTGCTTCAGGGGGATTTCCTGAACACTCACACCTACAGTTCTGTGGGTCTTTTGGATATTAGATTGCTTTTCCCCAGAAGTTATAATCAGATGGTGCCACCAATGAATGGGGCAGTACATTTCTTGGAGAGGTTCATTTACTGGTTTTCATGAAAGCACATATGAAAAACTGCAGGCTTCTGTTTCAAAGAAGGTATTTTCCCTTCTTGCTCAACTGTGGAGAAGGAAAAACCTCTTCAGGGTGCTGTGCTGTGACACACATCTGCATCATTGACAAACAAATTACATTTTTCTTCTTTTTCAGAACTATTGTTTTTATTCATATACAAATCTGTTTTAGATTAATCAGTTAAAATGTATACTGGTGACTAAGGTTTCTTTAAGTGAGGTTTGACCCTAATTTAAGGTTTGAGCTGCACTTTTGTACCTAATTCACTACCATCATCATTCATGCTCCCTTTCTTACCTCCATTTCTTGTAATGGAGCCCAGATGATATGTGAGTTTGTATAGGCAACATCAGACGAAGCGGATGAATGATGCAACAGATGGTTAAACAAAGATATAGATTAGATGGCTGCAAAACCAAGTTAAGAAAGTGGAAACGTGAAAACTGCACCTTACCAATCACTGGTCATCCTTCCCTTTCTCCCAGAGAAATGGGAGAAGATGAAGTTTTCTTTAGCAGAAGAACCATGAAACCCTGTTGAAACCTGGGATGTGCAACAAATAAAGTTCTAATTCTGCTTGTGACACCCTTTCTCACTATGCTCCCTCCAAAGACTGCATTGAAAATTATTAGTGACACAGCAACCCTGAGGACTAGGACACTGAGGCGCAGACATTGGAGAACTTCTTTTTGTTTCCGTGCTAACGGCCCAATTTCTGTCTTCTTGTTCCGTCACATGGGAACTACTCCTGTGTCCAATGTAGCCCATGACTTGTTGCATTCTGCTCAGTGGTGTTGGCTTCATTAACAGTGAACATTAACATTAGCATTAACCCTTACTAAGTGTTTTAGGTCAATGAGGGCAGACTACTAGAATTACAAGGTGGCCACCTCTCCAACAGGTAATTGTTCACTATACTCACCCTAAACCTCTATAAAGTGAAGAAGGAGAAGGAAGGAAGGGAGGGAGGGGGGAAAAGCTGTACTTGAATAATTTCTTCCACATGAGCGTGTCAATTTAGATTTTTGGGGAAGGCCTTTCACAAGGAGACCATCCATATTCGACCTAGGCAGGTAGCTACCAAGAGATGGCTTGTTCCGTGATGGTGTCTGGATTATGGATTGCCCTTGATAGGCATAAGAATATAAGAAAAATCTCCTTGCATCAGACAAAACAGGATATGAGCACACACAAAGTGTTGGACTCAGACTTAGCCATGCTTAGGATTGACCTACTGAAATCAATGTGACATGCACCATCTGCCTCATTGATTTCAATGGGTCTACTGTAAGCATGATTTTATCTGAAGTTCTAAAGTGTGTGTGTGGTGGTGGGGGATCGTGATATTTACTGTATCAGAACAGGCAGACAGACAAAAGGACAGTTCATATGTGGGAATAAGTAAGGATGAAGAAGGAGGAGATGATGGATTTCAAGCTGAACCAGAGCTCAGTTGTTTCCTTATCAGGGCTAAATTCCAGAGGATGCTGTACCAGTGTTACAATAATTAGTTCATTTAAGCAGATGCTTGTCCTGTGTGACAGTTTCCTCTCCCAAGTTTCCTTCCTTCATACCTGCTCATCCTAAACAGCAGAGGCATTACTAGGCCTAGTCCGTGGGGACACAGCCTCGAATCTATTTCACAGGGCTGCAGAACTGTTCCACAAAGTGTAATGTCTACCGCTGTCACTGAAAACTGTTTTTTCTCTGCTTAATAATGATGTAGGTGCCAAAGGGGGTTTGCAGTTGTGGGGAGAAGGGCTGACTCTCTCCCACCCACTCAGTGCTGCCAGCCACTGCCCAGAGATTTTCCTGCACTGCATTCAAGCTTAGAAGAAAATTTGGAAAGATCAGGGCAAGATATAGATTAACTTAAGCATTTGTTTTATTTGAGATGATTTGGATGAGGAATTGATTGGCTTTCCTTCCTGTGAAATGTAAACAAATCATCCTGAGTATTTCTGAATGTGTGTATAGAGAAATACACAGTAGCATATACAGCTTTTATGCAGATTTGTGTCTTATGGGCCTGGGAGCCAAATCTGGCAAATGTACAGCTGTACTCCTGCAAAAGAGGCAGTTGCAGGATTGAGTAACGGGTGAGTCCCAAGGCCTGCAAAGTCTAGAAGCAGGTTTTCCAAGTTTGTCATTGGAGTTATACGGTTTTTTTTCCTAAGTATGCATGGGATTGCCACTTTCTGTCCTCCAGATGTATTGCACCACATTTCCCATAGTCTCCAATCCTCCCTGGGGAAAGCTGAGGTACAGTTCAGCTAGTTTAGCTTGGAAAAAGAAAGGCAGTACATGACAGAAGGGTTTAAAATAATACATGGTGTGGAGAAAGTGAAGAGGAAGAAACGGCAAAAGGGATGAAGCCAAAACATCAGCATATTTTAGTTTAATTTATTGCCTAAAACCAAGTCTTTGGAGAGGCATTTCAGCCTTTTAGGCCTTGTCTACATGAGGCTTTCAACTCATGCTTTAACCACCAGGCTTCTGCTTGCAGATTCTCTGTAGGATTGAGTTTGGCTCCTTCCTACTTGGTTTTCTTCCCCCTGCAGTGGGTGGGATATATTCTTTCTCTGTCTATCTGTTCCATTAGACAAGCACAAGGTGGTGCTTCAGCACAGCAGAACTGCACATGTTCTCATTTTGTTATTTTCAAATAATACCACATTTTACTGGATCTAAACATAGTCCAGAAATGGTTGGAAAATATGGGAGATGATGATGGTGTTGTATAAAGCACCCATACACAAGCACACAATAAATGCTTCACACAGAGAAGCCTTATGAATGAAGAAAAAACCTGTGCCAAAGTAGAGGAACCACCAAAAGGTCAGCAACTGGAGAAAAGGGAAGGTGGTTTGGACATCGGTGGAGTGCCAGAGGGCTGGATAAGGGCTTGGATCGCAGGCTTGATGTTTGATGCCCCTGCTATACATCATGGGTTCCATTGTCAAAACCATCTTACCATTAAGAAGTTTCTCCTAATGTTGGACCAAAATCTACCCTCCTATCCCTTAAACCAGTTAGACTTAATCCTGTTCTTTGGGGCAGCAGAGAAGAAACCTTTGCCCCCTTCTTTGTGAAAACCTTCCAGGTCCCTGAAAAGAGCTATCACAGCCTTCTCTTGCCCAGGCTGCGGGCGCTATCACGGATGCCCCTTTCAAACATAACCCCAAATTTACTTAACACTCAACTCCACCTTTCTTTGTAATCTTTTCCTTGGAACGCAAAAAGTGCATTACACATCTTATTACCTCTGGGTATTTCCCTGCCGCCCTCCCTTTCCCTGCAATGATCCAGCACGGGTTACTTCACAATTTGCCTAAGTTTGGAAAATATAATAAACTACTTTCAATATCAAGGTTTTGAAACCCGCACGCTCTTTTTGTTAAGCTCGTCTTCCCCCGTCGGCCAAAGGGTGGCGCTGGTGGAACCCTTATCTGTCAATATTGTTACAGATAACAGGATTTAAGGGGGGGTGGGAGATATTTCTTCAAACAACTCCCCTCCTCCCCCCTCTTTTCTCTCTCTTCTCTTTGGTATTCGCTTCATCGCTTCGTAATGAACAACAGCACCCCCTCCAAAAAAAATGCTGCTCACACACTTTAGATGCCAGATTCGTTCTCCTGAATGAAGAGAAAGGAAAAGGACGACGAAGTGATGGTGGCGGTGGGGAGCCCCTAAGCACCCTTCAATGATTGCCGAGAGGCGCGGGGTAGAGGAAGCAAACTGAAAAAGCTCCCTCCCAAGCGTGGCAACTGTTCTTGAACCGAAGACTTTACAGGCGCTTGGAGCCATGATTGCGGGCTGTGTGCAGCCCAGGCGACGTTGTGTGCGTGTGTGTGCGTGCGTGCGGCTCGGAGTGTGCATGTGAGTGCGTTGGTGTGTGTATGGGGACTAGCAACCGCGACTGGCTCGAGCTCAGCGCCAGCAATGCCGCCGCCGCCGCCGCCGCGCTTTCTTTTGCTAACAACAATGTGGCATTTTTGCCCTGGGGGGGAGGCTTCACAGCTCTCTTTTTTCCCCCCATCCTAGTGGGATTGCGCGTGAGAGTGTGCGTCTGCGTGTGCATTGAAGAAGGAAAAAAAAGCGGATCGGAGGAAGAGAGAAGTCCAAGAATAAAAATAAATAAATATTTTTAAAAAAGAAGAAGAAAAGGACGGGGCAGTGAAACGGCAACCTCAGCGACGACAACAAGAACACAACAGGAGGGTGGCGGTGGGGAATCAGCACAAGAGAAACTTATGGAAGAATGAAGGAGATGGTGGGTGGTTGCTGCGTCTGTTCTGATGAGCGGGGCTGGGCAGAAAACCCCCTGGTGTACTGTGATGGACATGGCTGTAACGTGGCGGTGCATCAAGGTAAGAACCCCCTCCCTTTCTCCCCCTCCCTCCCTCCCTCCAGACACCTTTGCCGACCCTCCGCCTCCCCCCCTTCCCCAGTCAAGTCCCTGTATGCATCCTAACTCTTAAGGCTTTGCCAGAATATAGCTAACATATAGAGGGGGAGAGAGAAAGAGAGATGGGGGTATGGAATAACCCCCCTCCTCCATCCATCATCACACTGAAACCTTCGCAAGCTTTAAGCAAAAAGAAATGGGGAGGGGGGGGCGGAAGGTGTTGGTTTGAGACAGCGGAATAAGAGTTGGAGGGGGCGAAGAGATAAAATGATGGTGATGATAGATGAGGATGCACTGAAAGTATACAGTGAAAGTATTCTAATTTCTATTGTTCCATATAACGGTATTCTCGATGGGGGGCTTTGTGAGGGCTGCAGATGCAACATTTTGTTAAAAGGTTTGGGAAGAAAGGGGGCTGTGTTTGTGTGCTTGTGTGTGCGTGGATAAGGAGGGGCAAGATCTTAGGTTGTCCTGTCTCCACTGGGATGGGTGTTTATTGCTTTGTTTTGTGTATTTATTAATTTTTAATTGCATTAGCCTCTGAATGGATGTGGTGGGTGGGGGGAAGAGGCATATAAACAGAAGACAGGAGAGGCAGAAAGGGTGGTGATGCTTGGTTGTTGTGGGTATTAATAATATTATTATCTGATGTAGCTTTAAAAGAAATGTATGGCAGTGACCTCTGACTGTCTCCCACAAGCTTCCTTCCGGATTAGCTGGGCTTCTATTATTAGCTACCATGTAACACGGGTGGTGAGTGTGTGTGTGATTTTCCATAATGTTTGGGGTGGAGGTAGGCTGGGGAGGGGGCTCACTAGCCGGCTATTTCAAGGTAAGCTAGTGAAGAAGGATGTCTAAAGAGTGAATGTGAGAATGCAACATTACCTCTATACAAAAGATCACCTTTTGAACAAGGAAATAATAGAACCGAAGAGTGAATGAGTGAGTGAGTGTTTTCGGGGCAGGCGTCCTCTCTGTTCCTTTCTCTGGCTCCCTATGGTAGATCATTAACACTGGAAACACAAGGGCCAAGGAGGAGTCACCTCGGTTGCACCCTGCCCCACTGAAGTAGGGTTATTAATGTAATTTCAGGCCTGGCATCTTAACCCTTTCTATCAGGGTTTAGTTGCTCAAACAAGAATAGTCAGAGCTCAAACTTACCTGGCAGCGGTGCAGTTAGGTCATTTAAGACTCTGGGCTTAATGGTCATATTGGGGAAGGGGGAGCTCTTTAGATGACAGTCTTACCCCACTTCCTTCGGGACATGGTAATCTAGCCCTGCTGAGCTTGTGGACCTTTTGCTCCTTCTGAAGAGCAGGGCCCTGGACTTTCCTGCCCAAAGTCCTCTCCTAACGGCACCAGTGTTACTTAGAGGGGTCCCAGTTCCTGACATCAAATCATTTACCCCTAATTCAGATTGGGCAAGGATGAGCTGCTGTGGTTATGCTCTTGGGGTGGGGGGAGTCACATCAAAACCTTTTTGTTTGGGTGGGCATTTAAGGTTCAATAAAACTCAGTCTTTTTTTCTTCTTTTGCTTTAGTACACTGAATATGTGAGCTGTTCTAGTGATTAGTCTGGGAACTTGCAAGATTAGGGTTCTAGTCCTACTCAGCCATGAACCTCACTGGGTAACTTTGGCCCAGTCATTCACTGTCAGCCTAACCTACCTCACAAGGATGTTGTGAGGAGAAAATGGAGCTATGTAAGCTGCTTTGGGTTCCTCACAAGAGCAAAAGAGCTGGGATATGCATGCAACATAATATATTTTATATTTTAGTTAATGTGTTTGTTTTTAATATTATTTTATATAGCTACATTTTATAGCTATGTGGCTGCTTTGAATTGCAGAGAAATGGAAATATCTATCTTGATAGTACTCCAAAATTCTCTCCTTATGAATATTATTAATGTTATGTTGTGTTATCCTGCTTAACTTTATAAATTCTAGGTGGCAAGTGAACATGTCCCTAGGCTGATCCTTGGTACTGAAAAGAGATTCCAGGAGTAAGCTTGAAATATTTATTTGTTATATTTATATCCCATCTTGTTTCCCTTTCAAGGAAATCAAGGAAGCATACATAATTCTCCTCCTCTTATCCTCACAACAAGCGTGTGGGATAGGTTGGACTGAGCATCTGTGAATGGACCAGAGTCACCCAGTGAGCTCCATGGCTGAGTGGGGACTAGGACCAGGATGTCCCAAGTCCTAAGCACGACATCACACTGGCTTTCAGAAAGTAAGCCTTGTTTGAAGTGAAGACCCATTCATTAGCTCTGACATTTCTTCCCTCATGAATCTCAAGTGCATTAAAAAACAAACATGCATATAAGCGAGTGAGAAACAGCACTTCGCAAAAGGTAGTAAAGCACTGTAGCTTGGTGATAGAGGAGCCTTGTAAATAAGTCCACAAAATTACTAGCCTGCAATTTTTTTATTGGCTTGTTAACATGCCAGTATGCTGCTTTTCCTATCTGACCACGGAGAAAGAAAGCCCCCTTTCCACCCAACAATGAAAGGCAAGCAACTAACTCTTAACAAGCTAGTAAAACTGTATTCAGTTCTACTAAAGGGATTGACAGAGGGAAAGGGACCTACTGCCCCTCCTCTGTCCATCTACTCCATTTCTGTTGTTTCCAAAGAGGGATTCCTTGCTTTGTGGCTAACTAACTGGGCTGGCAAAAGAAGGATGGAATAATCCATTCCTCCTTAACCAGCCTGCTGGTTGGTCTTTGTGGAATTATAGGCAGTCTCCTGTATGGAATTACTGGTTGGCATGTTTGCAGTGTAAAAGTTTCAGGTTCAGTTCCTGGTATTTCCAGGTAGCGCTGGAAAAGGCTCCCCTCTAAACAGCCTTTGCCAATCAGTGTAGACAACACTGAGCTAGATGATCTGATGGTGTAAGCTGACCTTCTGCCTGGGAAGTTGGTTGAAGAAGTAGAGCATTTGAACACAGGTTTCCCAAGAACTAACTCCCTTCCTACTTGTCCTCCTCTCCCTGAGGAAGCTTTAAGTCATCTCTTTGCTTGAATGGGCTGGCCTGCGGCACTATTGCTGGTTTGCTAGGTACTGTACAATATCTAGATATGATGCATCAGCAGTCTGTAAAGACTATCAGGCTATACTGTGTAAGCATGTCTCAGGCACATTCTTGTAAGGTCACGAGATAGAGTCTGCTCAAAGCCACAAGTCTCTGTGCATGAAGTCAGATTGCCTTGAGCCTCCCTGCCATTGGTATCACCAGAGGACGGTGTGTGAGAGAGAGTAAGTCTCTGGTTCCTAAAAGAAGTGCTCTTCTAAGCAGTGTGAGATGCATTGCCTAGATTAGGGATAGCAGGTGATGGTACATAACCTGACTTTGGCCTCTGAAACAGTGTTATCTAACTTGGAGTCAAGTTGTAACCGAGGGGTGTGATACTTTGCCCCTGGTTTCGTTTATGAGTTTCATAAAGAAAATAAATATAGAAATATATGTATACAGGGGGAGAGAGAGAGAGAGGATGGTGTAATGACTGAAGTGTTGAGCAAGGGCCAGGGAGATCAAAATTCAAATGGCCACTAAACTGTGAAGCCAGTCATTTCCCTGAATCTACCCTACCTTTCAGGGATGTTATGAGAATAAAGTGGGGAGGGGAGAAAGCCACCTAAAGTGGGGAAGGGAGAATGCCAACTTGAGGCATAAAGGTTCTTAGTGGCTAAACACACTTCTGGGTCCCAGCCCACACCCAGGAGAATGAACTGGTTCCCAAGCAAAGCGATGCTGGCCACTCCTGGTCTAGAGCTCTGGCCTGTAAGTAGCGAGGCTGATTATAGTGGAGCCAGAAAAGGGGAAGAAAAGCAGAAGCACTGGGAATGGGAGGGAGAAGGAACCTATGCCCTTCTTCTTTCACAAAGTGTCTCAGCCAGTGGTCATATTGAAGGTAGAGCTACAGTTTGGGAACTTCTGACTGCTGTTTGACATTTATTTACTGACACTGTTACCACTACCACCAGGCCAGCCTTCCAGGGCCTACTGACAGAGGAAGGCCTCACCAGACAGCACTGTGTGCAGAGCCCCTTCAGACTTGGAGCCAGACATTGGTGTGTGGAGTCCTTCCGGCTTTGCCTGTCTGCTCCGGGTTGCATGTCTTAATTCACTGGGACCAGAGTAGACCAGATGGGGCAGCCATACTTGTCTGTGTGTACTTCTGTCCTGCTCAAGTCTAGAGGAAGCTGGGCTGCATTAATGTCAATAGAGACAGCTGGGGTGAGGGGTGATGAATTCTCCCATGTCTTGCCTCTCTAGGCACCATTGCTTCAGCCACACCCCCACCCACCACCCTACCTCAGGTCTGGTATCATCCAGACTGGGAGAAAGAGAGTAGAACCCTTCCTCCAAAGAAGTGACATGGTTCTTACATGGGCTTTGCACAGGACAGGGCAATTAGATGTTTGGCCTACAACTCCATCCCTTGTCTTTTGCTGTGCTGGCAAGGGCCACCAGTTACCCATACCTGGCTCAGGAGGAGGAGACTATAGTTCAGTGACAGAGCATACACTTTGTATGCAGAAGGCTCAAGGATCAATTCTGGGCATTGTCAGGTACAGTCAGGAGAGACTCCAGTCTCAAGCCCTGGAGATTTGCCCATCACCAATCTCTGTGGACATTGGACAAGACTGGATTAAATGGCACATAGTCTGACTCAGTAAGGCAGCATCCTATGTTATATGCATTATTCTGTACTGGAAATTTCACCGCTTAAGTGTGCAAATTTGGTATCAGTAGCAGGATTATAATTCCAAAGACTTGAGCTAACCAATTAAAATAAATTAAAAAGTTTCTAGCTCATGTGGCTGCTGATACTGGGTGGATCTGGATTTAGATACTGGGTGGATCTGGATTTAGACTCATGCAACTGAGTTGGTGGAAGTAGGCTTCCCTGCCTCCCATTTCCCACAGCAGCCCCTCCCTCTCCCTGAAAAT